TTTCCCTCTGCTATAACCTATAACTTTAGAAAAACTTTATGCCTTAATCGGTCGGTCTTTGAACATGACATCTTCTGCCAGAGTTCTAATTTTTGTCCCACACTTCCCCAGTTGCAAGTCCCTTGTACTGACCAGTGAAGTTAGATTTCCCTGTTTAAAGGAGTGTTGGACTCTGGTTTGTAGATCAGACCTAACATTCTGTGATGTGCCACCGCCGAGACTGTAGGAGATTTGTATAGCAGCTTCAGAGAAATCAAAACATGATAAATGCACAGACTGTAGGGCTGGTCACGTTTGTTTCATTCTATTCTTCACCCCCTTTTTCTGTTCGGAATACTGCAGATTGCAGTGTAGAAAGTGTCAGGGTGAAGGTCCATGAGTAAAAGGAGCAGCTGCAACAGAGCTGGGACTGTTAGCACCTGGGATTGGTAGGATTTGCATGCAGAAATGACTAGTAGCAGACATGTTAACAAGGTTTTTGTTTAGTTATCATTGTTAGGCTTTAGTGTTCGTATCCGGTGGAGATGGAAGAAGCACTTTACAGCTCCTTAAGTGATTGTTCGTTTCAGACTATCAGCGGGTTCGGAAGGCAGCACTTAGTTTATATTCAGTTCATGTTTGGAATATTTTCCTCACAGTCATCAAGACTAGAAAGCTAGCTGTTTCAGTGAGGGACACCGCACCAGGTCACAATGAACTTTGAATTCCGATGCTGCTTCCATAACAGCAGGACCAAGCTTTCAGCCACAGGCAGTCTTTGAAGATCTGTACCAGAGGTGGCAATGAGTCGTTTGTGCCCCTCTCTTCCTCTGCTGCAATAGCAGAAGGTTTTCCATTTTAAATGTATGTTCAAAGGAGTATGTAGAGGTTCGTCTTACTGAACTCCAGTGCCTGGACAGTTCTGAAAGGGCAGGGAGTATTAAGAAAAGAAGTTTAAACTGCTCTGCATGTTCTCTTCAGTCCTGCAAAAATCCTGAGGTCTGTGGCAAAGAACCCTCTTCCCTATTCTGGTTACTTGCTCTCTTCTATCCTTTTTGTTCTTCCTACTATGTTTTGTCGGTGAGAGGCTCCCTCCAATGGATCTGGCTGAGTATGTAAATTGTTTAAGTGCTGTCCTGCCATAGTGTTCACTTCCCGTGATCCTTAACACTTAGGACATGAACAGGTGAATGGCTTTTATGGGAATGGCAGATTTATAGCCTTCTTCTTAAGCGCAGGTGAGAGGTATGTTATGCATTCGTCTTATTCTCTTCATGTAAGATATTATCATAGTTTAGGGAGGTAACTGTTTCCTGGGCACTTGGTTTATACTGGGGGCCTGATTCAAGTGCAGCAACACTTGTTTGTCTCTCTTGGATAATATCTGTCAGATCTACTATTAAAATTGCTGTCAGCTGCCAAAACATTTAGTAGTGTTTTGTATAATTTGTGGTGATAGTTGCAAAAGCAGATTTTCATACAAGAATAACTTGGCTACTTTATTCCTGTCAAGTAACAAAGCCAAATACAGCATTATAAAGTAAGCTGCTTGATTTCTTTTTGTTGTTGTTGTTGCTTCAGAAGTTCTCTATTATCATTTTTTTTATTTCTACGTGTTAGATGAACACTATTGTAGTAAAGCTCTTGGATTGCTTACCCGTATCTTGTGGTAGTAAGTACTGTGGCATGTGAAAAGTTTAGATTCATGGAGTCCATTATACTTAAAAGGAGTTGAGCAGCAAAACCAGCCCAGTTCTACATCGAAATAGCATTTGCATAATTTTGGTAGACAAAGAAAACAATTCTACATCAGATACTTCATTTTGTCTCTCTTTCTATTTTCGTCCTGTTCATAGTATTTAAAGCTGAGTAATCTATTCAGACCAGGAAACCAAATGTAATGTTTTCAGTACCACAAGAAGTATCTCTTCTTTCTTTTTACCCCCTTCTTTCCCCTAGACTTCTGTTAAGGGCTTAATGAAATTAAGTAAATAGTAATACTATACAAGGTGCATTTGGAAGCTACTTTTTAAATTTTGACAAAGAATAAAACATAAAAATACTTTGTATGACATTCTTTATTTGCCTTGTCCTGGGTTTTCTGATATGTATTCAATGCTACGGCTAGATAATTTGTTAACAAGGCCTTTTTAACACTTTGGACAGATGCACATACTGTTTTCAATCTTCATGGTTAATTATTCGATTTTGTATTTGATGCTAGAACACCCTGACTCCTAATCACTGCTCATTGTTGAAAGTCCATTATATTCTAACTGTTTGACTGCTCCCGTTGACCTTGAACTGACATTATAAGCTGTGTCTAATCTTTTCACTCTATATTTCTAATGCTTCTTTTCTTTTTCCCCCTCTTTGTCTGATCCCTGTTTAGCATCACAATGGGGTTGCCTCTGAATCCAGCAGCTGACTCCGCCCGCTCTGCACGACATGCTCTCTCACTCATTGCCACTGCCAGACCACCCGCCTTCATAACAACTATTGCCAAGGAGGTGAGAAGAACTTTTCTAGCGTTCACTGAGCTGTACTTTCAAAAGAATAATGATCTCCATTTTTTAATAGTTTTATGCTTTGCTACTGTACTACTCCAAAAAGGTGATTTAAAAAAAACCAGCTAAATCTCCTTTAGAAAAAAAACCCAACCCCAAACACACCTTAGTTCTTATTGGAGAAAAAATGGGTTCGTTATTATACAAAACTACTTGGAGATATGAAAACACCCACGTTATGCAACTACCTATTGTTAACCGGTGCGCAAGGTGATTTGACAGGTTGACATTGGTTTAGAAAGTTCCTGTGTCCTGATGTATGCTTGTATAAATTTCTAATTCACACGCACAGCAGTGGGCAAAATACCACTTACTAAGTTTTTCCTTAGACCTTACTTAGACAATGCAGGTATTCTTGATTTAAGGACTGAAAGAAAATTGATTATTGGTTTCGACTTTTGATCCAGTCCATCTTATGTGAATGGTTGAAAGAACGAGATATTTTAATGGATGAGTTCTGATATTTTTGAGCATGTAAAATCCAAGTAACATTCGAAATATGAGATGAGAGCCTGGTGTTTCACCTTAGATAGCTTAGGCAAGTCAGGTTCAGGAGGAGAAGAAAGAGGTCTTTTTGTTCTTGGTATTTCTATATGGTACTGTGAGAGATTTTTTTTTTTCTTAATTGGTTGCAAGGAAGGGAGAATAAAAGTCTCTTCTTCCTATTCCTCCAAGTTGGCAGTCGCAGTACAAATGCTGCTTCCTAGGTCATCACTCCACCCAACTTGTCTTATGATAGACAAATTTATTCGGTTTATTCAGGTCCTCCTTAGAATTGTTGGGAGGTGGAGGGAATGGAGTAAGGGCAGCAAAGAATCTAGGAATTCCCTTCTACCAGCCTATCCCTCCATCATCTTAGTTCAATCTCCTGCAGTCCCTGCCTCATGCAGATCATAGAAGAATACAGTTGGAAAGGACCTTCCAGTTCAGTCCCCTGCTCAAAGCAGGATCATTCCTGTCTGCTAACTAATTCAAGTGTTGTTTTAGCCTGCTGTTACAAATTTCTAGCAATAGAGATTCTACAGCCTCTCTAAGTAACCTATTCCAGGGCCTAGTAACCTGGAATTAGGAAGTTCTTCCTAATATCCAACCTAAATCTTCTTTGTTTCAATTTAAGACCATTACTTCTTGTCCTGTCCCCAGGAATCATAGATCACTATCCTTTTTACAACCACCCACTTTGTATTTTGTGTTTTCAAATCTCCCCGAGTCATCTCTTTACCAAAATAAATACACTTAGTACTCTCAACCTTTCCTCTTATGACATGTTTTCTAGACCTCTAGTTATATTAATGCTCCCCAAGACTCTTTCCAAGTTTCTCATATTTTTCTTGAAGTGTGTGTACCCAAAGTTGGGCACTGGGCTCGAAGAGAAGGCCTCAGTAGTGCTGAGTAGATTGGAAGAATAATTTTCTGTGACTTGCATATAACATGCCTGTCAATGCATCACAGTATGCTATTAGCATTTTTTCCCTGCAATACATTTTAAATCCAAAATATAATCCTTCTGACCTCCCCTTTAATCAGTGTGAATCACTAAATAAAATCTACCAACATGTCAAAGACTGTAATAAGAATTCTGTTCTGAGTTTGTTATTAAAACAATAATAATAATAATAATTTAAACATCTCCAAAGTAAGGCAGATAAGTTATCCAAAGTACAAAGGCTTTTTATGAAATATTTCTGTCCAGATGTTATCTTTAAATATGTTAATTTGGTTTGAGACTTCTGGACTGTTCAATCAAACTAGGTATTTACTTTTTAATCATTTTGAAGCCTGCTTCCTCCCCACCCCCTTTCTAATCATTCCAGGTCAAAGATGTAATTTTAGAATAGGGTATGAACAGCAAACTTCAATATTCCCTGCCCAGACTTACCGCCCCCCCACCACTGGCTTTATGAACACAGTGAAAAAGACAAGATGTGACAAGGTAAAACTGGGTACATCTACACAAGATGCTGACTGCACAGTAGCCGAATAATACTGTGCAGCAGCACATCACAGCAAGGACAGTGCTAATATGCTTCTGCACAGTATTATTAGGCTACTGCGCAGTGGCATCACTTAAAAGATATTCACCTATGCCACTGACAGTAACTCTGGTTACTGCACATTTATTTAGTACTTGCTAATACAAGTACTAAATAAATGTGTAGTACCAACTGAACGGTAGCATTTCTTTTAGATGCACCCACAATATAGTAACCCACCTGAATACTTGTATTCCATCCCAGGTAGAGATCATATTCATTTTGGAATCTGATCCGTTATTAAGAAATTAAGATGGAAAGCCCATAATAAGTGTAGATGAAGTGTGTGTGGATCGCAGTAGTTAAATGCATAATATTTTTTGTAGGTTCACAGACACACTGCCTTGGCAGCAAACACTCAGTCTCAACAAAATATTCACACCACAACCCTTGCTCGAGCTAAAGGAGAGATCCTAAGAGTCATTGAAATTCTTATTGAAAAGATGCCGACAGATGTGGTTGATCTCCTTGTAGAGGTAAAAATGTTTTGCAATGTGTGTCCATATGTTTTTGAGAAATCATGTAATAATCCATTTCACTTAACCATAATTATTCTTCTGAAACTACCACTTATACTAAATGCCATAGTGTTTTTAAGGACTTCAGTAGCAAATGTTTGTCTGTTGCTTAGTGCTTTGTGAAATGGTTATTAACACTATGAATGAATGGTCACTTGAGTTATCAGTACTATTGTTGGAAATTTCATGGCATGCAGCATAGTGTGTTTTGTTTTGTTTTTAAGAAGAGAATATTTTATATTTATGGATCAAAGATACAGACAAGGACAAGAATTAGAAAATTCTGTAGCTATGAAGGATTTTTTTTTTTTATGAAACATTAAAATTAAGTGGTTTGAACAATTTCAATTCTTGTTTCCAAGGTTATGGACATCATCATGTATTGCCTTGAAGGATCCTTAGTCAAGAAAAAGGGACTTCAGGAATGCTTTCCAGCCATATGCAGGTAAAAGCTTCTTAAGAACTCAGCAAGGAAAATGATTTGTGATGAATATTTTTTCTTTCTATAGCTGGCTTAATGACCCTATTCAATCATACAATATTTCTCATAGTGTTTACTCCTTAAGACTTCAAATTTACAGCTATTGTCAGCATGCTATGAATGCATACAGATTTTCTAATCCCTATTATATGTGAGAGAGGACAAAGTCAGAAATGAGTAGCAGTATTACTAGCCCTTGAGAGTGCTTCCGTTTAAAAGTCCACACACGGTAAAATATATTTTTAGGCTGGCAATGTCTCAAAATTACCTTACAATCCTACTGTGCTTTTTTATTCACCTATCATAAATAACAGAAATTGCTCAGGGTCACTGAATAACTATCTTTCACCATAGTGATAACCACCACAGTTCATTTTGTTCAGGTGCAATGATTCTCAAACAGGGTGCCACGGCATTCTGAGGTGCCATGAGATCCTTCCAAGGGTGCTGAGGGGCACGACACAATATTAGCACCATTAAGTGTGCAAATACCTACACATATTTTACAAGATGAATTAGGAGATTTGAAATAGGAAGCCATAGTCTCAAAAACATTTTCACCTGTTGTGGTCTTTCTGAGTTCTTTGCAACAAAATAATTACTCTATTCTTTTTGACTATGGAAGAATAAGTGAAAGCTAAGCATTGGCATTTTTCCAAGGGGTGCCTTGAGCCTAAAAGAGGTTGAGAACAACTGTTTTGACAACATTGACAACAGTGCTCTACCCTTCAACAATATCTTACCTCCAAGATCTTTAAAGTTCTTTACTTTTTTAAAGAAATGAGTTATTACCACGATTGTACAGGTGGGAAAACTGAGGCACTCAGAAGTGAAGTGATTTTTCAAATACTATCTGTGAGGGAAAAAAAAGGAAAAACGACATGGATATTCTGACTCCCAGTCATGTATGTTTAATCACTTTTCCTGCTTTCTTTCCAGTATAACATTTCAAAATGATCAGCAAAGAATATGATTTTTTTTCATTACATCTTTATATTCTCTCTCAACTTTTCCTTAAAGTGTTTGTGACTCATATTGCCCGTACACCAATGCCAGAAGCATGGGGAAGAAGCAGGAGGAACTAGTCCTCCTGCTTTTCCACTGGGCACAACGATCTAGTAGGGATCACAGAGACCTGGTGGGACTCCTCTCATGACGGGAACGTAGCCATAAAGGACTACGTCCTTCACAGAAGGGATCAGGTAGGGAAGAGAGGTGGGGGTGTTCACCCTCTGTGTGAAGGAGCAGTACACCGCCCTACAGGCCCATGTTGGCCCCAAAGAAGAACAGCTTGAAACCCTCTGGGTCTAGCTCTGGGGGAGGTGCAGCGAGAGAGACCTGACTGTAGGTGTATATTACAGGCCGCCTAACCAAGGGGAGGAATTTGATATAGCGTTTCCCCATGAACTAACAGAGGCCATGCATGCATGGGACATGGTTGTCATGGGTCATTTCAACTACCCAGACATTTCCTGGGAGGAATGCTCAGTCAGCTTGAATCAATCACGATCCTTTCTGACCAGCACCAAAGAGCTTTTTTTGACTTAGGAGGTGCACAAACCAACTAGAGGAAATGCAGTTCTTGACCTGGTCCTGGCCAAAGGGGATGACCTGGTGACCAACTTAAACATAGAGGGCAGCCTAGGCAATAGTGACCATGAATTCATTACGTTCACGGTCCATCGCAAGGCTGACAAAACAGATACCAAGCTCAAAGTTTTAGACTTCAAAAACACATATTTTTATAAGCTCAGATCACTAGTAGAGAATGCCCTGAGAGACCAAGGACCACAGGTAAAGGGAGCAGGAGAAGAATGGTCATTCCTTAAGGATACATCCTTAAGGCTCAGAAAAAATCCATTCCCTTACAGAGAAAAAGTAGCAGAAGGGTCAAAAAACCCTCTTGGCTAAGCAGGGAAGTTGCAGCCCTTCTACAGAAAAAGAAAGAGGCATACAAACAATCGAAGCTTGGGACAGCCTCTAAGGAAGACTACTTGACAATGGCCTGCACTTGTAGAAAACAGATTAGGCAAGCTAAGGCAGAAACTGAACTAAAACTAGCTACAAGAATCAAGAACAACAAGAAGTCCTTCTTTAGCTACATAGGGAGTAAAAGGAAAACTAATGGGTGTGTGGGGCCGCTGCTCAATGCCTCAGGATACCTGGTCACTACCACTCAGGAAAAAACAGAACTCCTAAATGACTACTTTGCCTCGGTCTTTCACAAGACCAAGGGGAACAACATGCCAGGTAGAGCATAGAACGAACAGGGCAGGATTGACACAGTTCCCACCATTGCCATAGAACTGGTGCACAATCAGTTAAAGAAATTGGACATATATACATCAGCAGGACTGGATGAACTGCGCCCAAGAGTGCTGCAAGAGTTGGCCAAAGTAATTGCAGAGCCCCTGGAAGAGGTCTTTCAAAAATCATGGGCCTCTGGAAAAATCCCAGAGGACTGGAAGAGGGCCAGTGTTGTGCCCATCTCCAAGAAGGGGAAGCGTGAAGACCCAGGAAGCTACAGGCCAATTAGCTTAACTTCTAATTGCTTCATTGCGGGCAGGTCTTGTCTGACCAACCTCATTGCTTTCTATGATCAGGTGACTCGTTACCTGGATGAGAGAAAAGTGGTTGACATCATATAGCTCAACTTCCAGAAAACCTTTGACCTGGTATCCCATGAGGTACTGATAAGAAAACTGGAAGATATCAGGCTCAACTGCAGGACCATCAAGTGGGTGTAAAATTGGTTGCGAGGTAGGACACAGAGAGTCCAAATGAATAGATCGGTGTCGTCCTGGCAAGATATGGGCAGTGGCATACCCCAGGGGTCGGTACTTGACCCAGTGCTGTTCAGTATCTTCAACAATGACCTGGATGAGGGGGTGAAAAGCCGATTGGCCAAGTTTGTGGATGACACCAAGATATGTGGTTGTGCAGATACACCTGCAGATAGGCTGTGGATACAAGCAGACCTAGACAGTCTGACATGTTGGGCAGAACGGATCCAGATGAGGTACAACGTACAGAAATGCAAAGTGCTGCATCTTGGAAAGAAGAGCCCTCAGCACACCTACAGGCTGGGCATTGCTAATCTGACCAGCACTACAAATGAAAGGTATCTGGGGTTAACAATAGACCCTAGCATGAATACGAGCCAGCAATGCGACGCAGTAGCTGCTAGGGCCAATAAAACTCTGGCATGCATCAATTGATGCATCTCCAGCAAATCCGAAGAAGTGATTTTCCCATTTTACTCAACATTGGTGCAGCTGCAGCTTGAGTATTGCATCCAGTTCTGGACGTTGCACTTCAACAAGGATGTGCTAAAGCTTGAGAGGGTCCAGAGAAGGGCCACCCATATGATCAGGGACTTGCACTGCAAGCCATACGAGGAGAGGCTGAGGGATCTCGGACTCTTCAGCCTAAAGAAAAGAAGGCTGAGAGGGGGGCCTGATTGCGGCTTCTTATATCAGAAGTGTACATCAGAGGCTCGGTGAACAACTGTTCACTAGAGCACCCTGGGGGAAAACTAGAAACAATGGCCACAAACTCTTGGAAGATAGTTTCAGGCCGAACATTAGGAAAAACTTCTTTACAACTAGGGTGTCCAGACTATGGAACAAGCTCTCCCCAGTGGTGGTGCAGTCATCTACCCCAGAGGTCTTCAAGAGATGACTGGACGGTCGGTCACATGGCTGGGGTCACCTGACCCCAGATTTCTTTCCTGCTTATGCAGGGGGCTGGACCCGATGATCCTTCGGGGTCCCTTCCAGCCCTATGATTCTATATTTAAGTGGAGAATATATTAGAAGTGCTTCTGCCCATACCTTAGAGATGCTTATGCATTGAAATGAAAATTCATTGCCTCAAGCATACTTAGTAAAAAAGAAGTATAAAGGGAAGGCTCCAACTTTTAAAAATAGCCCGTATAAGTAACTTGGTACATGTAGGAGATTCATATTATGCCAAATTTGAAATACAGATTCTGTCCATTGGACTGTAGAGGCCAAACTACAAACAGCATTGCTTGTCTTGAGATCCTTCACCTATGACAGAATAAGATGACCAAGGATGCTGAGGAGGCACTTATGAAACCACCAACCTAACTGCTTTCTCATAGCCTCAGCAAAGTGTATTCTGCTGCCAAAATTTGGTCTTACAGCAATGTGCATATCACTTAGAAGGGAGTGGTAGCCTTATTCTTTGACCCCTGCTGTTCATCAGAACCTCATTATCAAGTGGATGATTTTTAATGATGTCCCCTTTTTAATGGTAAGGCCTGACTCCTACAATCAAACTAACAGTTGAAAATTAGGCATAATTACAAGAAATGCAGCCTGAGCTTCCGTTTGCATTTGTTTTATACACACACCCGACACACCCCACACACTGTACAGTGGCTGTCAGCCTGACTGTGGGGAAACATAAAAATTAATTGTGTCCTAAAAGATGTGCATGTTCAAGGCCTGCCATCCTGATCCCTAGGGACATAATACAGGCATCCAGCTGGAACAAGGAATTTGAGATAACAAGAAATAATCACGGCAAAACATCTGCATGTAATAATCTGAGTTTGTTACAACTGCCACTTGCTCCTCATGTCTTCAAAGACAGATAAGTAGGTGAAAAGAGATCTTATAGAATCATAGAAGTCGGGTCGGAAGGGACCTTGTAGATCTTCAAGTCCGACCTCCTGCCTGGGCAGGAGGAAAACTGGGCAGCTTCTCCTGATTTGTTACTACTATTCATACCTTTTGCCAGGTTAGCAGGATATGTTCCATGTGTCTGTCCTGCCTAATCACTACTAACCTTCTTATGATATTATGATCATCGTTTCCAGTGGATCACCTACTTCCCACATGACCATGCTTGCCAGTATGACCAGTTCCCCCTTGAATAATTTTTAATTTATCTGTCAAGGTTTACTGTTCCCCCGTTAGTGTCTGAAAGATGAACAG